TAGAAAAGAGCAAAACCCACTCAGAGTCTCAGACAATTTGTCAAACATTTGTCATGTATAATGATAAAAAAAAATACTACTACCCTTCTAAACATTTATTCCTCAAACCCCAAAAAATTAAACAAAGAAAGCAAGCGCACCTAGCCTGATGATATGATGGTTTTATATTTGATTGTAAGATACATTTTTACAGTATCATTGTTAAAGTTTAAATTTCTTTACTCCATTGTAAATCATTAAAAAAAAAACAAAACAAGCAATTCAAAAACAAATAAATAACCAATTTACACCTTAAATATTAACTTACCTTGTCCAGCATCGACAATTTTCTTCTTTCAAATTTAACCTATAAACGCAGTTACAACATCCAACATAGAATATAAAACAAGTTGATTAGATCAGTACAGGTTCGTTTCTTGTCTTTTCCTTGGCATGGACTGTTAGTTTTGGGCCGCCATACAATTTCTGGCCCACGGGGACTGTTAGCTGATTCATTGAGAGATCGAATATACGGTATATATTGGGATTGTAGAAATTCGTCATTTTCTTGTAGATTAAAATATTAGAAATAAAATTACTTTAAAAAAAACTTAAAGAAATAATAGTCATCTGTATTATTTTTTAAAAATTAAAAAAATTATAAAATTATGTTATTTTAATAAATTTTAATAGTAAAAGAACATACTTATTTTTAAAATTTAAACTGGATTGTTTTTAATTTTTTTATAATATTTTATTAAAATAAAATAATTTTATAATAATATTCTTTTTAATTTTTGAGAAAAAAAGTGAATAATTATTAATTCAAAAACTTAAATTCCTTTAATACGTCAATGCTTGAAAAAGATTCATTGAGATATTTAAACAATTTCACATATAGCCTAATATTTAAAATACTAAAAAAATCTTGATTCCTATTTTTTCATTTTCATTTAGACTTTGCTTGGTTTGGCTATTCTTAACAACTACAAACACCTTAACCAATTGTTTAAGAAAATAATAATTGTAGACATAAAATCAACCAAATCAAATACATCTTTATAGTAATATCAAAAAAATATAATTTATTGATTTAAGAGAAAAGTAAAAATTAAGATATTTTGACATTAAAAATATCAAAACGTTTAGTCACAATCATTAAATATATAAAGTATAATGTGAGTTTTAATTTTATTAAATTTATCATATAATATAATTATTATTAGATGTCTTAATATTTTTAATATCAAAACATTTTTTTTATTTAATTAATTTTTTTATCTTAATTTATACAATAAAAAATAACATTTTTCTATCCTTTCGCACCCCACCACCAGCGTAGTTATTAGTAATTATTGCAATTGGTGTTAGGATATTCCTTTAAGCTATTAGCAATTATTGCTATTGGTGTTAGGATATTCCTTTAATTTCCACCAAACCTTCCTTCTTGCTTGGTCCGTCTACTAGTCCATTTTAGCACTACAGAGGATCACTGGCCGTATTAGACCGATGATGGGTAATGTTGGGCATAAAGCTTTGCATCAGGACGATCCTGTTACAAATTTTCTATTATTTGTGGGTTTTCATAAATCGGTAATTTTGATATTTTAGTATGAAGTTCGACGAATTTTGTTTAAAATATCAAGACATACATTTTTCAAGATCAATTTTAATTCATTCATGTAAGCCATAAAAAAAAAAAAAGGATTTCATTAAAGTATATATTAAGCATCGATCATTTGAAAATTGAAGGACTAATTTGATACCAATATATAAGTTGATTGACCAAATAGGGATTAATTGGCTAACTTGAAAAATGAGAGTAAAGAGCTATTTGGCATATATTAATTTTCAATTTGTTCATAAGCAATTTTTTTCTCTTAAATTTAAAATGTTTTTAGAACAAAAAAATTAACATTTAAAGTAATCATAAAGCAAGCATTGGAGAAGGCAGTTACCAAAAACCCTCTCTTTTTTTGGGCCTTCGCCGAAAAAAGTATTGAAAAAAAGTAATAAACACTTTGTTGAAAAAAAAAGACTTGCTTATAGGTATTTTAAATGTTAAAAATTAGTTTTTTTTTTTCTCAAAGTAAAAATCCTTTCCAATTTTTTAAAACTTTTTCAAACTCAACAGAGAAAAAGGGTGCTTAGAAGTTTGTTGAAAATAAGCTCCAGACCCCTAAACTTACTTTCTAAGAAATTGTGAGAATGAAGCTGGAGAATGAGAATTCACTAATTTGGACGAAGAGATATCGGTGGATCTAGAAATTATATATGAAAGTAATTAATTAAGCATCAACAGATTATTAACATCAAAACTAAGGAATATATAATATTATTTTATCAAATTGATTAAAAATAAATAAATTCATTAAGTTAAAATCTTTTTTCCAATTTCCTTTACAAAAGTCTTGAGTTTATTATCAGAAGATCCACCTTCCTTAGCAGCTTCTCTTCCCAGCTCTTTCCATTTCTTGGCATTCCTCCTCATTTCCTCTCCTCTCTCTCCACCTCCCAT